CGAGGTTTTTTCTGATTCCATATAAAATGAAGTATTATTTTTTCAAGATCTTTAAAATATGACAGTGGAGCTTTAATGGGGATTGCATTAAAATTATCCTTCATTTTCTCTGGCTATTTTAAGGGCTACATAAAAGGAGTGTAGGGAGGGCATGTTCCTCTGTTAGGGTTCCTAAGGCCTGACATTCCAGGAACAAAAGTGATTGCAATAGAATTAACCATAGCAGTAGATATTTTCTTTTATAAAACTCCTATACTGCTTCACCTCCTGCAGAAAACGGAATTCACCAAAACACCAAGATTTAAATGAATGCAATTTATTCTCTTCTCTTCTAACATTAGCAATTCAGTTGGTGAATTATTCTCCATCCTTGAGATCCCCTGGTTGGAAGAAGAGGGCTAGGCCCCACCACGGCACTCTCAATAGTAGAACAGAAGCACAGCTGCCTCCGTTATCTCCCGGCTGCTGCTATAAGCAACATGAGCTCCATATCCATTCCAGTCAAAGGCAGAGAAATCTCCGCACTGCCTGGGATTGCCCTCTGGGAAGAATCCTCCTCCACCGATGCAGTGCTGGGAAACAAGGAGGGAAAGAGAGATCCAGTGGAATCTTTGGTCCTTATCATAAGCTCCACTGGCAGTGCTAATCTATTCCTCCCATATGAACCTCTACAGCTTCAGCTTTAGTGACCTCATGGTCTCCTCCTGACTTTCCTCCAACTTCCCTGAACATTCGTTCTCAGATTCACTGGCTGGACTCTTCCTTTGGAAATCTTTAAGTGCTGCTTCTCTGTAGAGGTCAGGCCTCCCTGTCCCTTATAAATTGCATGGCCATGTTGGCATCAGCTACAACAATTCACTAGGACCCCAAATCTTTATCTCCTGTGCTCATGTTTTTCATACTAATGACCTCAAAATCGAATCTGGGTGTCCTTATAGAAATATCAAGCTCCATATAAGAAAACTGTTCATCATCCATACACTCTAGCTTGATAAATGACACTCATTCACCCAAATGTCAATCATAAGGTTATTCTAAAGTTCTTCCCTTACCATCCTCTGTACTCAGCTTGTATGCAATTTAAAATCTTTGGAATTCATGAAAACCCATCATTAATCACCATGAGTACATGGGGAGATGGCCTGAGTGACTTTTCTAAAAGTTGATGCCTGGCACCACCTAGTGACCCCAACACAGTGTGTATCTGCTCAAGTCCTGGCTAGGGGTGGGGGGGAGCATTTTTTCCCTTGAAGCTGAACCTCAGGTGAAGAAAGACAACACTTTGTGTTTTTCCAGGCATCTCAGCTCCTAAAGGCTCTGACAGAATATTTCTGCATGGCACCTTCACCCCAACTCCAGGCAACTGCATGTGTTATCCCCAAGGCTAAGCACCCAACAGGGGTTCCCTGGAAGCCTCAATCTTTAATATTGGTCCTCAAAGGTAAAGGATGTCTGAACCTGGACAAAGGGTCCTGAAGCTCTGGCCCCTGAAACCCAACAATGAACAAGAAAAAGTCACACATACTAACACACCACAGTCACACCACACTCGACACACATCACACAGTGATACACCCAACCTTACACCTTTGGGCCCACAAAGACTCACAAATTCAGTGTTACATCCGGTAACCCTCATTCCAGCACACAAGGCATTGGCTGCTCTCTCGTTATTAAATACCCTGAACTGAACAAATCCTGCAGTGAATTCCGCTGAAAACAAAAAACAGAAGAAAGCATTCAAGGAAGATGCTGGAAACAGCCTTCTTTAGGACAGCCCAGAGATTCTCTACACCAAACTCAGCTACCGCTCAGGTCTCCAGCCATAGCAGTGCAGCCCAGCACCTCTGTGGGCAATGGATATGCATCATGGTCCCAAACTTCACCAAGAGGAATATCTTTCTAACACAGACACCATGAGCTGGTCCTCAGGGAGAGTCCCTCCTCTGCCATAGAGTTGTGATGAGAAATTCAACTAGGCAGAAAGATCAGGACCCCTTTAAGGGCAGAGTGGCAACAATTAAGAGACGCATCCACTCTGGTCCTGCATACATTTTTCTTATTCACCTTTATTTTAAAATCTCAAATCCCAATGTAAATGATAACAGCTTTGAATTTTGTAGGATACACTCAGCCTCTGTGAAAGATATTGTGCTGCCAACCTTAGATTCACAGAAAATAAAGTAATGGTTACTCCTCACAATAATAATAATAAAAGGTCTCACCATCCCATTAGTTGCTCTGCCCTGTGTACAATAGCCTGGCCTGGTCCTAACTGTTCTCTGAGGACTCACACTGAGGTTCTCAGAAGATCCTAGAGCTGAATGCATTCAATGAACCCAATCATAACTGAAACTCTTTCACTGAAAGATCAAAGGAGCATTAAAGACTCACGCTGTCCATAAGGAGAGTAATAAGATGCTGTTTTCTGGGCATCACCAAAATCATAGAACACAGGGATGGCTGGGCCATTGTCAGTCCAACATTTTCCTGCTCCATATTTCACTGGATATTTCTACAAGGGACAAAAAAGTCATTGAGCAAGGACAATAGCTTTGTCCTAACCAGCCTTTTACTCTGGGGATGCTGCCATTTAGTAGAGGAAACAGTGGTTTCTCAGTAGCTGAGATTATTTCAAAACCAGTCAAAATCAGAATCTTTCCCTTTTGTTGCTTCTCCCACAGCCCAGATCACTTTATCATCCTTCTCTGTCTCTGTCTGTCTCTCTTCTCACTCCCTCTCTCTCAATCCTCCTCTTCTCTAGGTCTTTCCCCTTGCCTGGCTCAGAATTCATGAGAGAAGCAGGACAGAAGCCATCAGCAAATTGCAATGAGGAGGACATGGCAGACAGGCCCAGTGAGAGATGATTCCTGCCCACCTCACCGCCTCACGCACTTGCTTCTCTGCACACCCAAGCGAACCAACCGCAGCCACCAGTACTGTGTACCTGGTAGAGGCCAAACAGATTGTGTCCCTGTCTCCGGAAGAAGCCAGTTTCAGTGTGGTACCTCAGCAGAGAGCTGTTCCTCCAGGATTCCATGGGGGAGTTGTTGGGCACATGCCAGATGCCCAGGTCGTTGGCCTGGATGTCGTAGTAGCCAGGGTTCTACAAAGCCAAAGACAATGAGCCTCATGGGGCCAAGAGGTCCCAGACAGCAAAGCCCCACACTCAGCACCAGCTGAGCTGACAATTCTCAGGTCCAGGGGGCGGATGGACACTGCTCTCAGACACCCCGCTTCCAGCAGATGCTGACTCCCCACCACCCAGGTCCCTAACTACCCTGGGGGAGGGAGTTGTGTAAACACATCTGAGTCTATCTTTCTCATTCTCCATCCCTATCTCCATGTGCCCACCTTCCCACCCTCCCTCCTGCACCTGTGCCAGCCACCCTCAACCCCTCACCCTTTCCCAGTGATGTGGAAGTGGCACCTACCTTGTAGTCATCACTTGTGGCCGCCTCTGCAGATCCAAAGGTGTTGTAATTGGCCCAGTTGTTGTCCCCCTCTGGGTAGTCTGCTCTGCTGCCCTGCTGACTGGACCAGCGATCACCCACTGTGCACTTTCCAGCCATGTTGTTCTCATGCACACTGGCCACCAGGGTCCAGCCACCACCCTCAGTGGTCATGTCACAGAAGGTCTGGTAGACAACACCATTCTTGGTGCGCAAGAAATACAGGCCGTCTGTAGAGAGAAGCAGCCAGAGACTCCCTGTCTGAGGGCTTATGGGCCATCTCAGCCCCATGACCAGAAAGGCCCTTGAACCAGAAACATGGGCTGGAGGCTCCTCCCTGAGTCCTCTCACCAGGTGGTCCTGGGGGTCCTGGAATCCCCCTGAGCTCGGAAGATCAAGCTCCTGTCACTGAGGCAGAACATAGAATTGTGAAACTCCCAGTAGCCAGTGACATTCCTCATCCTGTTAGACACGGAATTATCATGGCTCAGCAAGTCCACTGCTAGGTATGTACCAAAAGCAATGGGAACAAGGACTCAAAGAGATGCTTGTGCACTGCAGTATAAGTCACAGGACCAAAGGCAGAAAAGCCCAAATATTCACCAGTGGATGAATAACTATAATGTTGGGGTGGGGTATATAAATGTAGTTACATAAAATTGATGAAAAGGAATTCAATATCCAGGCTGTAACATGGATAAATCTTGAAAACGTAATGCCAAGTGAAATAAGCCAGACACAAAAGACAAATATTGTGTGATTCTATTTACATGAGGTAACTGAATAGGGAAATACATAGTGACACAAAGTAGGGGAGCAATGAGCAGGGGCTGGGGAAGGGGGACGTGGGCCTATGGCCCAGCAGGTGCAGAGTCTCTGTGTGGAGAGTTAGAAGTTCCTTAGATGGAGAGTGGTGGTGGCTTCATGACATTTGAAGGTCATTAATGTCACTGAATTGTACACAAAAATTACCTAAAATGGAAAATCTTACGCAAAATGTAATATATACACATTTTACCACAGTTTTTATCTTTAAAGCAATCGCTCCAAGGGCACAGAATCCTGAGTACCCAGGTGGTGCTCTGATTAAACGTGTCCTCACTCACCATGTGCACTGGGGCACTTTGCTTTGATTTCCTTGCAGCTTCTGAACTGAGATGGAGACCAAGAAGAACAGGTCCACTCCTCACCAGATGTATTGGCCTCCTCTAAGAAGATGAATAGTTTTATTACCATTGCTAATTTGTCACAACTATCAGCCTCTCTTTATCACTAGTCCCAAACTCTACATCCCCACGAGAGCCAAGCCTCACCACCTGCAGGGGCAACCCAGAGATATCCAGTACCATGTTAATTCAGTCCTTTCACCCAACACCCAGCACAGGCTTGATGGAACCCTCATTACACACTCCCTCACCCTCACCAGCCCTGCCCTAAGCACTGGGCAGTCAAGGAAATTAAATGTTCCCCTAAGAGCTGCCCATAAAGGGAGTTGCTGACAAGTGAACAGGAAATAATATTGAGAAGAATAAATGATGAGAGGAGAAAGGACTCTGCTGTGAGAATGGAGCATGGAGAGGACAGAATGGAGGCAAGAGGGGGTTGTCTGGAGTAAGAGGCTGAGGTGGGGTTTCATACCCTAGTCACAGAAGGCCTCCTAATCCATGTGACACCTTAGCCTATTCTAAGAGAATAAACTAGAAAGAAAGAGAAAATAATTGAAGGAACAGAGAGTAGCATGTTCAAAAGCCTAGCTGTAAAAAAAAAAAAAAAAAAATGCAATATAGTCCAACCTGTTGAAGAAATGTAGGTAGCTTAATGTGGCTGAAACATAGGGTGTCAGGTAGGGGGTGGTGAGAGACCAGCAGAGGCACAGAATGAAGAAGCTTATCTGCTCATTTCAAGGCTAAAGAGCCTTCAAACTACCCTAAAAGTCCAGAGAATAACAATAATCATAAGCTTTGAGGTCTGACATGTCCAGTTGTATGTAGTTCAGTGTTTACTAGTTGAGTATCGATGGAATTCTACTCAACTGATCTGAGCCTCAGATTCCTCAGATCTAAAACAAAGCTAATAAAGTATTTTGTGATGGTTAACTGAGAAGATATTTAGAAACAGCCTTTACTTTTGAAAAATTAATAAATAACGATGAAGAGAAATACAAATTTTAAAATGCCACGGTTACTTCTGTTGTAGAGAGGACGACTGTGAAAATGACATTCTCCTAGTATTTCCCATGGAAATCTCATGGCCAAGGCTATAGATATGGGAAGTGGCTGGGAGGGAACACAGCTCCTCAGGACTGTTCAGGGGCACAGACGAGACCCAGCACATGCATCAGCACTTCCTCACTGCTACAGGCCAGATCCCACAAGGGCCAGACATCAGCATTGAGCCTGCGTCCAAGTCACCCTCTGTGCATCTCACAGATACCCCCATCACCTAGGACAGACTAGCACCCTGGGAACCACATAGGTGGTTCTGCTCTTGAACTCTGGAGCAGAACTAGAGGACCCAGAGCCCCCAGGTGCTGCCTCACCTTTACTCCATGCTCTGGTGGCCACAGTGAGAAACAGCAGGAAGGCCAGTGGGGTCATTGTAATCTAAAGGAAAGCAAGATGAAGGCCACTGACTTGAGCATCTTTCTCTCTATGTCTCTGCTCCCACCCTGTCCAATCCAACAAAGACTCCAAAACCCCTTGCCTTTTGTTTAAATTGTACATATCTCTGGGATGAAAAGCAGACCTGAGATGAAATCAGGATTCCCCAACTCACAGACTGAGTCTCAGCTGCCCTTCTCTCCAGCACAGACAGCAGAGTTCTTGCTCCCAGCAGCCAGGAGCTAAAAGTTGCCAGCTGAGTGGAGCTTCCTCTGCAGAGGCCCCTGATGTGGGTAAGGCGCTGGGCCCTTTATGGAGAAAGCCCAGTGGGTCTCGCCCAGGTTTACAGCCTCCTCCTCCCCTGGCACAATGCCCAGTGCAGGTATAGGCCTCTGGTTATCTCAGGGCAGCTTCTTTATGCAGTGATAACTCAGATTTAGCAGGCCTACTAGCATTTTTCCCAAATTTGTGGAAGTCATAGGCCTGCGTATTTTTCAAAAAGGAAATAGAAGAGATTAATAAGAGTTGGCTGGAATTTTTGTTTATGTCTTCCTTTCTTGCAAAATAAAAAAGAAAAGTGTGTTTTTATAAAATTAAAAATATAGGTGCTAGGTTCAGTGGATCTTGTGTGTAACCCCAGCACTTTGGGAGGCCGAGGCTGAAGATTGCTTGAGCCCAAGAAGTTGTTCAGCGCCAATGTAAGTCACCATCGTGAAGTTTAATCTCAGATGTCTACAACCCAGAGGAAACACTGGGACTTCTGAACCTACCAAGCTTTTGGGATATGAGAATGGGTACGATTTTTTTTTTCTGCCATGTTAAAACATATTTTAAATCAATAACAATGGTTTCACATAAGAAAATACATGTTAATGACAGCATAGTGAAGACATAGTCTCAAAATAAATATAAATTCTAGCTCAAATAAATTTAGTTATATGCAAAGTCATATTTCATTGTTTTTCTCATTTTGCTATAAACTGATAGAAACTCATTGGGGTCAGGAGAAGGCTCATTCTACAGCAGCCCTGGTCCCAGACTGCATTTTGAATTGCTGATCCAGTATAAGTTTTCCCTGATGCTTCAATCCCTGCTCCAGCTTTCCAGTCCCAGTGTCATTCCTCAGATCCATGAGCGTAAATGTTCCTCATTTCTCATCTCCCTATCTAGTGGGACAGATCACTGCCTCCTAAGTGTTACCTCAACACTATGCCTTTTCACTGTTTACGTGTCTTATATAACAGTTGTTAGGAAAAGGCTTTGAGGCGCCATGTTTCTTGAGCTAACACTTTCTGTATTTACCCATGAAGAGTATTCAGTTACATATTGCCAGATAGACTCACAAAAGGAAATAGAACTGTACCCAGGTCCAAGACAAATAATCACACAAAGTGCACACCTTCTATAACACTATGTTAAACATTTTAATATCTCCCATATTGAGTACTTCATTCAATGGCATATCATAATTTGTACTTCACCTGGAATAGCACATAGTATAACAGATCATATCAATGGCATCTTACATTTGATGAGAAGTCTAGCTCTGACATTGGCAGAGAAGTGGTACACTGGAATGAGAACTTCCTGCAAGCCCAGAAACTTGAGCTCCTGGCCAGGATCTGGTCCTAATTAGATCTGTGACACAGGGCAAACCACTGCATCTGTCTGAACTTCAGTTTCCGTGTAATTAAAATGCAGGTAACAAGCTCTAACTCACAGAATTGTTGTGAGGAGAACAATAACAAGAGAAAAATGAGAATGTATGCAAATATGTAAAAAGCAAGATTGTGGGTAAGAAAGATGATTTCAAAAACCTTGTCTACTTTTCTGCCATTTCCATGAACACCTCTCCTCCGAAGGGAAACCCAAAACTCAATCAGCCAGTGTATGGAGTGCCCATATTTCCTATAAGACTATCTCCTGTGTACCAAGGAAGACTAGCACATTGCATGTTTATGAGAGGATTCAGAAGATATTTAGTGAAAGAAAGTGAAATTGTTTACCATCACAGCATAGACCTTAATCAGGTCTAAAACTAGGATCTTCTAGGGATACAGTTATTGGAATTCAAGTTCAGTGTTTGGTGTTCTAGTAGACTCTATTAGAAACAAATTTAAAATTCTTTTTTTTTTTTTTTTTAGTTCTCTAAGTGTTCTCCAGACGTCTTTCCAAAAGGAACATATTAAATTGCATTCCCACCAGCAATGTAGAAGTGTTCCCTTTTCTCCACATCCACGCCAGCAACTCTGGTTTTGAGATTTTGTGATATGGGCTAATCTTACTGGAGTTAAAATTCAAAATTATATTACTTCAGGTTTTCTTTTTTTAATTTTGAGATCCTTATCACTCATAAATTGTCGCATTTTAAGTGAGTTTTGGTCATTAAATCCTAGCAGTCTGGCATGTCAATCCCTTGAACTCAGGAGGTCCAGCATAAGCAAAAGTAAAACACTGTCTCCACAGAAAGTGAAAATATTCCTGTTGCCCAGCGGCCAGTACCTATAGTTCCAGCAACTCAGAGGGCTGAGGCAGGAGGATCGCTTATGCCCAGGATTATGAGTCAGAAAGATGATTTCAAAGAGCTTGGATTCTTTTTTCTGCCATTTCCATTAAACCTCACCTCAGCTGGAAAACCCAAAACCCAAAACCAAATCAGCAATCAACAAGCGTGTGTAGTGCCCATATTCTCTATAAGGTTGTCTCCTATACACTGAGGGATGTCAGCACATTGCGTGTTTATGCAATGATTTAGATGTTTATTGAAAGAAAGAGCAACTAAGTGTCTACAACTATAAGAATAGACCTGAACAGATCAAAAGTAAAGTCTTCAGTGATTGGAATAGAAGTCTTTAGCATTTCGTATTCTAGGAGATTCCACAAGAACCAATTTTTTTTTTTTTTTGAGACAGAGTTTTGCTCTGTTGCCAGGGCTAGAGTGCAGTGTCATCATCATAAAATCACTGAAACCTCAATTTCTCCTGTGTCAGCCCCTGAGTAGCTGGGATACAGGTGTGTACTACCATGCTTTGCTAATTTTTTAATTCTTTGTAGATATGAGATCTCACTGTACTATTCAGGTTGCTCTCAAACTTCTGGTCTCAAGCACTCTTCCTACCTTGGGTTGCCACAGCTCGGGGCTTATAGGCATAAGCCACCACACCTTGCCAAGACAGAGCACCTTTTCTGTTCACTACTTTGCTGTTCTCCCAGAGCCAGTACAGACTCAAGTCTACTTCTGTGACACTGGGCAAACCATTGCATCTTTAAGAGATATCTTATTTTGCAGACACTATTTTATCTATTAGTTTTTGTTGGTTTGTTTTTTGGTTTGTTTTTTGGCCGGGGCTGGGTTTGAACCCACCACCTCCAGTATGGAGACACTATTTTAAAAATTACTTCGTTCATGGAAAAGCCTTCACTCTATTATTTAGGTGACTGAGAACAGTGGACCTTTGCCCCTTTTCTGGCTACTCCACACCAGGACACCTTTCCTTCTTTGAGGAATCTCTCCCTCACCCTGCAACATGTCTGACATGGAGGGAGATGGAGCCCCACCTCTAACTAAGGAAGCTGAAGAGAAGGTAACAGTCCCTGATGCGGGCAGATAACCCAAGCTTGCTGTAGTCAAGGTCAGCTGGTCTTTGACAAATCAGATGACAAACACAGGGGATTAGCCCTATTAATTACGTGGTGCTGGGAAATTGGACAGCCACATGCAGGATAGTGGAACAGGACCTCTATCGCTCACCACCCACTGTAATTAATAAAGGTGGATAAAAATGTAAATATAAAGCATGAAAACATAAGAATTCTAGAAGAAAATGTAGGGGAAAGTATTCTAGACATTGGTCTAGGCAAAGAATTTATGACTAAGACCCCAAGGCAATTACAGAAGCAACAAAATAAATAAATGGGATTTGATTAAGTTAAAAATCTTACATAAAATAATTATCTGTCTCTCATATTCCCATCCCCCACTCTCTCACCAGATGCAGCTTTTTTTTTTTTTTTTTTTATCTCTTTTAGCTATTCCTGGTGCTCGAAATCCAATCAGCTTGAAGAATCTTTTCTTTAGTCTTGACTTTGGACAGATTCATCACAATGTGTCTTGGAGAAGGTCAGTGAGAGTTGAGGCGACCTGCAGTCCAATATTCCTCTGAAAGGAGTGTGTCAGAATCTTTGGTGATATTTGGGAAATTTTCATTTATAATATTCTCTAGTATGGCTTTCATTCCCCAGGGGCATTCTTCTTCCCCTTCTGGGATACCTATAACTCATATGTTTGAACGCTTCATAAAGTCCCATAATTCTGTCAGTGAACATTCTGCTTTCTCTCTCTTCTTTTCTGCCTCTTTAACTATCTGAGTTATCTCAAGAGCTTTGTCCTCTACCTCTGAGATTCTTTCTTCTGCATGGTCTAATCTGCTGTTGATACTTTCTACTGCATCTTTAAGTTTCCTAATTGACTCCTTCAGTTCCTTCAGCTCTGCTATATCCTTTCTATAGTCTTCATATTGTTCATCTCTTATTTGATACTGTTTTTGTTTTTCCTTTTAGTTATTTTCCACTTTATCAGCAGTTTCCTTCATTGTTTCCATCATTTTCTTTATTGTTGTCATCATCTGTACTCTAAATTCCCTTTCTGTCATTTCTAACATTTCTTTATAGGTGGAATCCTCTGCAGTAGCTATCTCACAGTCCCTTGAGGGGGTTGCTCTGGACTGGTTTTTCATGTTGCCAGGATTTTTCTGCTGATTCTTCCTCATGAGTGATTTCTTTTATCTGTTTTCTTGCCCTAATTTTCCTTTCACTTCCTCTTGCTCTTTAAGTTACCGTGCCTCTGGACTAGGGTTTCGATGAGTCTAGCTCTCTATTGCTTTTGTCTTCCTGATGGGGTCCACAACTCTCTTGCTGACTCTCTGTGTCCCCAAAGGGATGTTTCTGGGCATATCCCACCATCCAGAGCTGCCTGGAGTCTCCTCTCCCCAGACTTACCGTGCCCAGTTGCAAGGAAGCTGTTCCTTGGCCGCCATCTTGCTCCTCCCCATGCAATTTCTAAAATTTTATTCTCATATTGTGCATTGTCAGAGAATGGAATTACAGCTGATAATTTTGTGTTAAATTGTATCCTATTACATTTCTGGATTTGTTTATTAGTTCTTTTTTTATTAAATGAT